GCCTTTATATAGAAACAAAACATAATTTTTGTATTCTATAATAAAAACGAATAAGAAAGTTATACTCGGTGGGGATCGAATCTCGCATACCCACTACTATGCTTTTAGCATCCTACTCTTCAAGATCTTTTATTTGATACCCATATCTTTGGTTTTATTAAGAAAAAATTAATCGGCATCATTTTAAAATTAATCCATTTTTGGGCAGATAATATATCCGCATTTGGGGTGTGTATAAAATAGTTTTAAACATTTTATCTTGTTTGCCTTTTGATAAATGCGCATTAAACTTCAAAAAAATGAAAAAAAATACATTTAAGTACTTGTAACTTTGTATGGACACGGCCGATTGATTCCAGTTTTGTACTTAGAGAGTAACGCATTTCGTAAAGCAACTGCGGAAAGTTTCAGCTTTCTAACTCTAATAATTTCCGAGTAATGAGCAAAAATCCAAAAATTTGTGTTAAAAAAAACAGAGTTGTGTTCCGTTTACGCTCCACTGCACTGACCAATTTGGCCCATTTTCAATACCAACCTGCGTGCACAAACTTTCAATCTTTCTACCGAATTCGAAGTCAAGATCTTCATTTTTGCGACCAGGAGAGCGCCAACAACACACAGCCCGCAGACACACAGACGGACGGACATATCTAAATCAACTCAGAATTTCGCGCTAATCAAGCATATATATACTTTATAAGATCTCTGAAGCTTTCTTTTGGGTGTTACATACGAGTATACAAAATGAGTATATCCCCATCTTACAGTGATGGGTATAATGACGAACGTGTTACACAATCTGTTGTAGGATAGGTTTAATGTTCGGCCTTGCTCGACTGTAATAATTCTTACTTGTTCAATTGCTTAGAGCCTTTTCCAAGGATTATTAAGTTGCAAAAAAAAAAAAGAATCGATTCCAAAGTTTTAAAAGCAAGTTTACAACACTAAAGGTAATTTATTAAAAGTATATAAACACGTTAAAATCGTCTTAACAACATGACCATGGTTACATGGAATTAACAAAACATTTCTATAGAAATATTCTTAAAAAGGAGTTTTTCTTATTCAAAGCATAAAGAATGCCTGATAAAATTGAATCAGAAAATAATTTTTGTTTAAGTTACGATAAATTAAAAATTTTCAAATTTGGTCTCTTGGCCAACGTGTACAGTGAAACTAATAAACAGTTGAGGATCTTTCAAAATGGTAAACATTTAAATAACAAACAAATTTCTATATATCGCAAGCTATCTGTGCAAGATAATGACAACAATGACAAGAATGATAAGAAAATTCAATTGTCCGAGAAACTATTAACTGATATTAATATGGATAAAGTATTGGATAATTTGCAAGAGATCTATACAATAGCAGTTAATGAACTACAAAAAGACAACAAAGATACTTTGGAAACTATTCGAATAGTTGCAGCCATAGAATCTTTCAAGTATAACAATAAGAATTTGGAAGAGATAATGGAAACATTTCGATTGAATAAAACAAATATTGAAACGGTTAAACAACAGATAATAGAAGAGCAAGAAGAAGGCAAAAAGAAACTCGAGGAAAATGGGGAAAAAATTCGCAATTTACGTCATGAATTATTAAGCATTGAATTGTTGCATAGTATGGAAATGAAATTATTAACAAAATGGGGTATGAATCGTGAAACACAAGCTCAAATAGTCAGCGAAAAGCAACAAAAATCGTTAATACAACAATTAATTGATGTTAAGAAGAAAATGACGCAGGAAGAACGCTTGATCGGAGAAATAGGAAATTGCTATGAAAATCAAATAGTCAGCTTAAACGAACAAGTATCGCAATGGGAACAAAAGTATAGGAAAGAAATGCAAATTATTTTGCTAGAAATTCAAGAAATAATGAATCAAATAACGGAACTCCAAGAGAATCATGAGAACTATCGGGAAATATGTAAAGAACATATAGCTTTTGTTGAGGATTACTTGAAATGCAAGGAAGAGGAGGAACGATTGAACGAAGAACAATGTTATCGTATACGGTGTGCAGTACGTTTGCAAGCATGGTGGCGCGGCGTAATGGTTAGACGTGGCCTGGGACCATATCGTAAAAAATCGAAAAAGGGAAAAAGATCTAAAAGTAAAAAAAAATAATTTTAAAGTATGAGAAAACTTTTGAGCCTCTACGTAAAGTCTCTGAATAAAATCGAATTTATTTGAAAAGCAATACATTACAATATACAGTACAGTTCCGTAAATGTTTCAAAAGTTTTTTTGTTTTCGTCAATGCTAAGGTTTGATTTAATCTTTGCAGTCATGGAATCTCATAGTATATGGTACAGCATTGAATAAGGGCACAAATTCATCGCATAAGTCTAGCAAATTTTAAATGCAACATAGTAAACAGATCTTTGCCACTTTTTTCAAAACAGTTGTTTATCAAAGTTGAGGTTATGTCCGATCTCTTCTGTAGGAATAGTCGAAGAATATTTACAATTAGGCATTATCGCCTTGAATGGTATAAAGAATTGTAAACAACACTGCCTATACCGACGTTGAGGCGCCTAGATCTCTTTTGCCGACACATTCGTTGAAACGCACGCGCATTTAAGTGCTAACCTTTTAACTGCTGGTACATAAAAAGATAACTTTACTCTTTTTGTTCTACATAAAATATTTTCGTATTCTAAGTATAGCTTAAAACTGCGGATTCGTATGTTTTGATCATAAATGCTTATTTTGCAATATCTACAGTTTATTTATAATGTTTAATTTTAGGGAAATAACTGCTGATTCACTACTTCTCGACCAATAATCGAAATGTAATACTTTGTTGAGCGGGTCTTAAGGGTAGCGGTGAATGGTATAAAGCACTTGGCAGGCGCATATTACAGACCCTTTTGTGTAGGCACACTACTGCCTTACACTTTTAAAAAGAAAATGGTTTATGAGCAGAAAAGATTTTCTGTATACATTTTTACATCGTATATGCCGTAACTTAATTAGCTCTAAATCTAAACGACACTAGTAGCGATAAATTGATTAGACATTGACTGATGGGCATCTTTGAAATCAAAATCCCCACAATAAAATTGTGAACATAGAGATAATCGTCTTTTTGCTGAAAGCACAATCACTGCAAACAAAATTATTTGGAAGAAAAAGTTCATACATTACACCAAAATGTATTATTGATTCTCTGTGTAACACTTGTGATACAAGGGTATATTAACTTTGTCCTGATGTATGCAACACTCAGAAGGACTTGAGATAGACGATATTTGGTACACTGACTTGTCTTGGGCCAAAAACGAGCGCCATTGATCGGAGGAGTTGCTTGCTTTTGATGAGTTACAGACACAAACTTAATGTTAATCTTGTTTATAAACTTTTTGCTAGTTTTTGATTAAACCGCGTGAATATGATAGACGACATGTATCAGTGAACAAAGATCTTTTCCAAAACTGATGTACAACCAGTTAATATTACTCTCTTAAAGTAGAATATTACTGTAAAGTTAAAGTTGACTTGTTTCTTCTTGCTAGTAAGTGCTCCCTAGTAATTCATTCACTGACTGGTCACTGGTACCGTTTCCAATTCTTAATTTTCCACAATCTTGCCTTAACTGTTGATTCTTCCATAGATTTTGATTATTGCAAGCGTATTGAAAGCGGATCTTCACCCCATTTATTTATCCTACCTATCTAAAATCAAGGTTGCAATTTTCGTATCTGATTTCTTAGGAACCCTTTACATGCTTTTACAAATATTCCGGGTAGCGCATGTCTGCAAAGGTTTTATAATGACTACAATATCACTTCTTATATTTATCCGAAAAGTATATCATATTTCTTAAAATATTTCCAACACCTAAAAATATGCAACGAAAATTGCAAGGAGAACATATCTTGCATCGGTATGATTAGAAAAATCGAGTAAACAATTAAAATCTTTCATCACGATCTAAAGACTATATCTCTAAAAACAAAATTTACACTGTTTGTGACATGTAGTGCGAACTTGGCCTTAGAGAAGCATAAAGAAGGTAAATAAATTCTTCTTTTACGTAATTTTGAAGAACAGCTATTACTCAGTTAGTCAGATGATATGATTTCCTAAAGCTATATGAAAACTTTATCCAAGTTATAAACGACTCCGTTCGCTGTATTGCCCCGATCCCGTGAAAAGCTTTAAAGTAAATTTCAACTAAAGCCGAATACAACTTTTTTCTTATTTAATTTATCTAATATTTGACAACTTTGTGCTTGCTATTTAATGTAGAAACTTATTTGGCATAACAGTCATGGAAATTAAACGTAAGTCTTAAATAATCACTTAATAGTAAACAGGCCTATAATTACTATTAGTCATTTAATCATACAAAAAAAAAAAAGCGAAAAGTCAACAAAATAATGTGTTAAGCATTTTTAATTTCATGCACATCGTCTCTCTCTCTCTCTCTCTCATTAGCATACACAACAAATAAAATGTTGAAATACATTTTTAGACGTTTATTGAAAAGTTGATATTAAAATTAAATACTTTAAGCTTAGCTTGGTAGAGGAAAAGAAAAATCGGGAAAAATTATAACATAAGCTAATGGCCAGTCAGCCACTGTAATCAGTCAATAGTAATTTTTTTAATAGCGAGAGGGGGTGGTTGCCCAGGAGCCCAGCTATTCGAGTGCAGATTTTTTTCTTCTTCTTCAATCATTAAACAAAACTTTATCATGTAACAATTATGTGCTTTTTTTCAATAAACAAAACGGTTCTAACATCTCTATACCACTGTGATTATAAGCCAAAAAAATAACAACAACAGCAACAAGAAGAAAATCATTACCATCATCATTAAACACAATCAATGTCATTAATCTGTTGATTTAACATTTCACCCTAAGAGTTTTGACTTCTCATTAATCCTTAGGGTAAGTTATATTATATAGAAAATTAATGTCATCGTTCTTACATAGAGAGCAAACCGAAACTGTCGTAGCGTTACGCTTGCATTTAATTTCGTTTCTTTTTTTTTATTTTAAACCATTTTAACATATCACCAGGCGTATAAATATTCCGTTTCATATATTACTCATACTTAAGCAACGTTAACTGACTCTGTATATCCCATCATTTCTTGCTTTTTTTTTTTTGCGGTGAGAATGTGTACAAGTGTTATAACAACCCTTAATTTAACTTTTTTCTATCCCTAGAGATTTTCTCTCTCTCTCTCTCTCTCTCTCTCTCTCTCTCTCTCTCTCTCTCT